AGTGGAGGGAGGGCGGCTCTACAGTCAGTGACAGGCGCCTCACTCCCACTCCCACTGTGATCCTCAGCAGTGGCTTAACCTGACAGCTGAGGCTCTCGGCCGCATCGCAGCCTGAGCCTTTCCAGGGCTTTCGGACTTAAGTTACTTAACGGGCTGTCACCTGTCGGGTGCGAAACGCTGTGATCCTCTGCAGGATTTGACATCCTCCCTCAGCCTTTCCGCCTTCAGAGCTAGACGCACTTTCCCTCCCGTGAGCGTGATTATATATTCATTCTGCGGATGGGCTCTCTCATTGCAGAACAGCCTGAGCCTCGCCTGGCTTTGCTTACTGTAAGCTTCATTAGTTATTGATTAGTCCGGTCAGGCCCAAGTGAAGCAGAACCTGAACTGGCTCAGACTTCAGGGCAGTGGATTCTGCTATCTGGGCTTATTACCTAAGCACACCCAAGTAAAGCCTCTAATAGCCTCGATTGAACACCACGACCTTCCTTATCTGTGCAGTTAATAACTTAACAAGCTCTAAGCACTTCTCAGTCAACGACTTAACTACTCTGGAACTGGAATCCGATCTGTCGACCTGATAAGACGGGGATTTGTAATCGGACCGGCGGAGGCCTGGAGCGAAACAGCTCTCTCCCGGCCAAGCCCACGCTGACCTCGGTCACTCGCTGAGAGCCGCCAGCCCGACCCCCCCCAGGGTCTCCAGCGGGAGGTCCGGTGCGGCGCTGGGTCCTGGTGGGTCGGCCCTGGCTCTCCGGGACCCCGGGCCTCTCACGGTGGCGGCGGGCTCCGACCCACCCCAGGTAACCGGAGCCGGTCCTGGAAAGTGAAACCGGAGCCGGCCTCGCCCGGCGCCGCTATTGGAATCACAACTCAACAATGGTGGGCATGTCAGGGAGCACATTAAAGATGCAGGCCCCGGTGTCTGTTACCCTGCGGGCAGGCGAAAGCAATGCAGCGGAGTCGCTTACCTGCGCGCGGGCTCAGGTGTGCTGGAGTCTCGGCGGATCTGTGGATCTCCTGCCTGGTGGAGAGCCGGGCGTTAGGCGGGCGGAGATGAGCGGAGGAGGGGAGAAAGAGAGAGGGAGCCAGCCTGAGGGTGAGACTGTGCCTGCAGAGAGCCCCAGGACTTGTGTGTATCCGGCTCCGGCTCTCTCCTGACCCCGTATCGGATGAAGGGGACAGAGGATGGACTGATGGACGTGTGTGTGTGTGTGTGTGTGTGTGTGTAAGGGCCCACTATTAGAAAATCTTGTTCATGTCCTGTCTGTTACGAGCACAGCCAGCACCAGTTGTCCCTCACCCTGTTGTTCCACACCCTGTCCTTCGCTATTGAAACCCTCTGCTCGCTCCAAACCCACGCCCGCTATTAGGAGTCTTTCCGCCTCCTGAGCTCTCGGTTCTGACAACCTTCGAAATCTTGTGCTCCCGGACCTTGCCTGCCGGACCCCTGTCCAGCTCGTACCTTTCGGACATTCCTGCGTCTCCCCCCTTCTCGGGCTCGTTCACCTCGGACCCCATCAGAGCCCTGCACGGGGCCCTGACGCTGTCGGAGTGCAGCACCTTCTCCCCTTCCCGAAACAAGATGCGTCAGGCGTCCCGCTGAGCTTCCTGCCTGGCCCAAGTAACCAGCTCCCCTCTTCGCCCCGTGTCCCTCCATCTCGCCCTCTGGCTCGCCACCCGGCCTCGGCCAAGAGAGCCCGCCATCCCGGGATGATCGCAGACAGTGCTCTTTTGCAGTTCCAGATATGTACGTGATAAGAAACAAAGGAAAGGTCCCTGACAAGAGCACAAAACTCCTTGTTTCATATCCAAGAAACTAACTGCGTTGCCAGTACGATAAGATCAGATCACTTTGTTGGCCCTATACAATTTCTTGCATGAGGAATGTGTCTTTTCACAGACCCCAGCTTGCTCTCCATGAGACACACAGACAGGGAGAGAAGCTGGGGGTCAGAGCACAGGGTCAGACATTTATACAGCACCCCTGGAGCAGCTGGGGTGAAGGGCCTCGCTCAGGGGCCCAACGGAGTAGGATTCCTGTGCCGGCCGCGGGATACGAACCGGCAACCTTCCAGCCACAGGCGCAGATCCCGAGCCCGAGAGCCAGCGCTCAGCCCGATGCTAGGAACCCTTTCCGTGTCCAGGGAGGATACCACAGCGCCGGGTGTGAATGCGACCCCCTGTGGGGTCCAGAGCCCTCTCTTTGATGCTTCTGGGTTTCCTGGGTGACTGGAAACAGAGTCTCTCCCTCTCATACCCCCCCCCCCAAAAAAAACCAACAGCAACAGAACAATGGCATATTCCGGCACCCTGGGCCGCGTGGGCGGCGGACAGAGACAGCGTCGCGCAGGGGGCTGAGTTGTTTCCGAGTTTCCAAGCCCAAGACGTGTGTTTGCACGTGCACCGGTGCCGGGTGTGGAGTGTCCTCCTTTCTTCTCCTTCTTCGGTACGGTTTTCCAAGCCCTCGGCGTCTTGTGCCTGTAGCAGGCTGCTCTGTTGGCGCTGCTGGTCATCGGCGAGCCGAGCTGCGTCCGTTTGGAGTTCCCTAGGACGTGTGCTGGAGTTCCTGGAGCACCCAGTGCCTCGCTTTCCTTTACATCTCCCAGACCTTCTGACTGGTTTGTTTGTTTTTATTCCTTACATGAGAGTTGAGTTGTCTCTCATTTCTTTCCCTCACCAGAACCACTCCTCTGTCTATTTCCCACAAGCTCAACTCCTGCAAGATGGGACCTTCCCGAGTTTCTTTCATTGTTTTGTTCTTTCAGTTCTTTAAAGCAGTCATCCCACTATCCACTATGCTTCCGAACTGGATACATCAGTCAGATCGCTCTTCCTACAGGATAGCCCTCCCCTCCTCAAAACGCCAAGGTGATCCTGAAAGGCACTTCCTCTGGAGCCGATTCTGCCCGTCAGACCTGCTGGAGCGGGATATCTACTCCGAACACGCAGACGAGCGCGGCCAGGGTCCGTCTCTCCAGCAGCGTCCATTTAACTCGAGAGAGAGAGAGAACGTAGACGCTGCTTTGAAAGCCAGGCTTCTTTTTCAACTCATTTGTCTCGCCTGGAGCAGCGCGTCTTTGTTAATCAAAGATCCGGAGCCGGAGAATGATTTACGCGCGGCTCCGCTGCGAGACTATCAAGTAGATGGATTTCTGTAGCCAGGCCGTCCACGGAGTTAATAACCCGGCTCTTGCAGG